GAGCGGCGGCGGCACTGGACCTCTTTAGCCTCACCTGGTTGATGGGAAAAACTGGCTCGACTGCGCCGACATTCGCACGTGCGTTGTCTGCGGAAGGCTGCGTGCCGCGCTGGCGGCCTCCGTCAGCCGCCGCGCAAGGCCGTTGTGCCAGCTCGTGCAAGGTCGTGTCCTTTCATCTTAAGTCGGGCATGTCCCTCTACAGGAGGGGTGTTCACAAGTAGTCAAAATATATGGGGACAATGTGTCGACTATGTTTGAGCATGTTTTGTGTTTTGTTTCCCAATGTTTGATTTTTCGTCGGACATGCCCCGCCTGACCGTTATGTCATCTCGCGCAAGGTCCTTTTATCTACTCGCTTTGCTCATTCCGCGGGCCCGTACTGTGCCATCGCATGCGTTTGCCTGCACGCTCGTGGCCTCTTGGGGCCTCTCGGGGGCCTGTTTTGTCGCCTCTTGAGGCCTTCAGGAGGCCTCCAGGGCGCCTCCTGGGCTCTTTGGGGGCCTCTTGGGGCCTCCTGAGGGCCTCTTGAGGCGGAAGTCATGAATTGCTGGTTTGTGTTTTCCCTCTTGGGCCCGTTCTGGGGCCCTTTTGGGCGATCTTGGGCGCCTCTTGGGCCCTCTTGGACTGTCTCGGTGCCCTCTTGGGGGCCTCTCTGGCAGTCTTGGGGCGGTTTGGGGGGAATCTGGGGCCATCTCAGAGCGTGCGTGGGAAGCCTGCAAGCGCGGAAATGCGAAAAGCACTGAAGCAACATCCGGAAAATCAATCAGTTGTGCTTCTGTTGCCCCTCTTTGGGTCCTCTTGGAGCGCTCTTGTCAGGCGATCGCAAACATGGATCAAGGGGGCGTGGACTAGCGACGGGTCCCGCTTCCATGGGAAATTGCCGATCTCCGCCGCTGGACGAGGAGGCACCGGCCGCATTTTGGGGAGGGCCTTTCCCCCGATCCACGTCTTCGGCGACCGCGCGCCAAATCCATGGATCGCTAATCCATGTTTGCGCGTCCCCGATCTTGGGGCTTCTTTGGGGCCTCTTGGGCCGTCTTGCCTTGAGGTTCCTTGGGCCGCTCCCGGGACGATCTGGAGGGCCCCGAGCTCTCTTGATCTGGGGACCCCCAGGGGCCGCCCCGGGCGCGCGAATTAGAATATACGTAGCACCCCGCAGATGCGGATAAGAGTGAGGGGGCAGTGGGGACGTCGGCAGCCTGCGAGACTCTGGAGTAGCCCGCCGCAGGCGCCGATTTTTTCGTTAAACCAATGTGGGTAGGTCGCGGATGGGTTGGAAGTGGGTCGCGGCTGAATCATTGTGGGTATAGGTCGCGGGTGGGTCGTGGGTGGGTCGCGGGAGAATCGGGGGGTGGGTCGCGGGTGGGTCGCGGGTTGGGTTGCGGGGTGGGTCGCTGGGTGGGTCGCGGGGTGGGTCGCGGGTTGGGTCGCTGGTGGGTCGCGGGTTGGTCGCGGATTGATCGCGGGGTGGGTCGCGGGTGGGTTGCGGGGTGGGTCGCGGGTGGGTCGCGGGTGGGTGGCGGGTGGATCGCGGGGTGGGTCGCGGATGGTTCGCGGGTTGGGTCGCGGGTGGGTCGCGGGTGTGTCGCGGGTTGGGTCGCGGGGTCGGTCGCGGGGTGGGTCGCGGGGTGGGTCGCGGCTGGGTCGAGGGTGGGACGACGACGACAAACAACAACAACAACAACAACAACAACAACAACAACAACAACAACAACAACAACAACAACAATCATTTTACCCGAACGCGTGGTGTTCTCCCCAGTGCCAGGGTTTTCATACGACACCAGGCAATACCCCCACTTCGTGGGGGGGCATTACAAGCTCTACCAAATATCCAAACGACTCTTCGCGACCACCCAAACCCAGCTTCCCGCCCTATGACGTTGGGACACTTCACTTCGTGGCGTGCGGACGACCGTGGCTACTACACTGGCGTGGGGTACACACCCACAGAACCCAATGGTTTTTGGAGATTTCGGCGTGCGCGCGCGAAGAAAAAACGAATGTGTCCCGCATGGTATTATTTGACAGGGATGATGGCCCTGGCAGGTGCGCAACCGTTGTCGCAGAAGTTCGAAAAAGTTGCTCGCAAAAGCCCGTTTGACAGAAATGTTTAAAAAGTGTTGGGTTTCCTACGAATCCGCAAGAGCGCGCGGGATGAGATTTTGACATTTTTTTTGTTGAAAAACCATTGGTTTTTTGATGTTTTTATGTTAAAATCGCTCCGAACACTAAGCTTTTGGAAGGATTTCGTCTTGCGCGCGCGAATGTCCACTTTACCTTATTTTTTGCAAGGGATTCTTGAAATTTGATTATATTTGAACAAGAAATGTCATTTTTTATAGTGTTTTTTGCAAGGGAAACGGATTACAACAAAACAACCGGATCTGATGACATCGTTTTACCTGAGGTTTCCTCACGAAAATGATGAAAACGTGCTGCGGCCTAGGCGCGGCGGGGGGGGCGCGCACCAGGGGGCCCAACAATAATTATTCTTTAGAATTAATAATGTTCAATACCAATAACAATAACAATAACAATAACAATACCAACAACAACAATACCAATACCAATAACAATAACAACAACAACAACAACAACAACAACAACAACAACAACAATCATTTTACCCGAACGCGTGGTGTTCTCCCCAGTGCCAGGGTTTTCATACGACACCAGGCAATACCCCCACTTCGTGGGGGGGCATTACAAGCTCTACCAAATATCCAAACGACTCTTCGCGACCACCCAAACCCAGCTTCCCGCCCTATGACGTTGGGACACTTCACTTCGTGGCGTGCGGACGACCGTGGCTACTACACTGGCGTGGGGTACACACCCACAGAACCCAATGGTTTTTGGAGATTTCGGCGTGCGCGCGCGAAGAAAAAACGAATGTGTCCCGCATGGTATTATTTGACAGGGATGATGGCCCTGGCAGGTGCGCAACCGTTGTCGCAGAAGTTCGAAAAAGTTGCTCGCAAAAGCCCGTTTGACAGAAATGTTTAAAAAGTGTTGGGTTTCCTACGAATCCGCAAGAGCGCGCGGGATGAGATTTTGACAATTTTTTGTTGAAAAACCATTGGTTTTTTGATGTTTTTATGTTAAAATCGCTGCGAACACTAAGGTTTTGGAAGGATTTCGTCTTGCGCGCGCGAATGTCCACTTTACCTTATTTTTTGCAAGGGATTCTTGAAATTTGATTATATTAGAACAAGAAATGTCATTTTATAGTGTTTTTTGCAAGGGAAAACGGATTACAACAAAACAACCGGATCTTGATCAACTCGAATTACCTGAGGCTTCCTCACGAAAATGATGAAAACGTGGCTGCGGCCTAGGCGCGGCGGGGGGGGCGCGCACCAGGGGGCCCAACAATAATTATTCTTTAGAATTAATAATGTTCAACAACAACAACAACATCATCAACAACAACAACTCAACAATAAGCATAATCCTTACCACGGATACCCACTTCAGCCACGCACCCAGGGACAATGAATGACCGTTCGGCCCCTTTCGCTCTGACATATGCATGTAGTCGAGATGTTATAGCACGCCTCTGGCCCGTTGGGCCGGTGAACTTTCGCCGCCCCCCTGGCGCGCTCGCTTGCCAGTGAGGGTTGCCAAGCGACGATCTCAGGCCTCCGAAGGTATGCTTTTTTATGCAGGCTGTTCTCCCTATCGGAGAGGCCTATGACCCGAATTCGTCGGAACTCGGGTTTGGGCCCATCCTGAATTCTGGCGGCCCATCCAGCGGGAGGTCGCGCCACATTTCAACAGGGTCTCGTCGATCTCTTGGCGGCCCCGTCAGGCCAACCCCAGTTACGCGTCTCTCCGATCCTAAAGAGGACTCATAATGGTTGGCGACACTGGGCCCCATGTCGCCTCACCTGGCGCGCTCCGCGCGCCAGGGAGGGGTCCAGTGCCGATCCGAGGCATCCGACTCCGCGCTATCTCAAGCTTCGTTTGGACCCC